GTGTGTTCTGGATAGAAAATCTCATTTTATATGCTGTAATGATGTATAGTGAATGAATGTAAATAAAGAAATTTAAATTTTAAAAAAGTAAAAAGAAAAGAATTTAAAGAACATCACAGAGATGACCACATCCAAGTTCACTCCATGTGGTAGCTCCTCCACAGTTTCCCAATGGACTGAAGGCACACAGCTGAGATCTCATTTGGGAGGTTGGTCACCGAGATAGCCTCACATTGGAGATGTCCTCTTGCTGCAAGAGGGTTCACTAAGGTGCATGTTACCTGCTTTCAACTGTAGGTCAGTCTGCAGTCACTGCCTTGACTGCAAGCCTGGGTAGAAGGGTCTTTATGGAAGGGTCTCCATAACCTGGAAGGGCTGGTGGCCTTCTGTGTCTTATAAGGACCAAAGCAATAAAAAGCAGGGTCAAGAAGTCACTATCACACCTCTCAGGTTGCAAATCAGAGGTTCTCTATTCTTGCTGGACACTAGAACCACTTAGAAAGATTTAATGAAGTACCCATGCCCATGTGCAATCAATTAAAAACAATCAGCAGTTTGGGTGACAGGCCCAGGCATCAGTATTTCCTTCCTAATGCTCCCCAAATGATTCCAGTAAGCATGAGGTCTAAAACTCTAGTTTACCTGAGGATTAGGAATTTCAGGTGGAAATACTGAGCTCCAAACCTTTCTAAGATAGCTTCAATTTCAGTAACTTTTCTGTGTCATCATTTAAACTATTTTACTCTTTTCCTTTCAGAATTATCAATAAAAGTAAGAGGAGAAATGAGTATGTCTTAAATATAAGGGAATGGAAAGATAGAGCTGTCATTCGGAGCTGTCATTTCAGCGGAGTTCTGAGACAGCAGTGATCAGGTCAGTGTTTTGAAAAATTCTGTTGTATGGGTCTCAACATCAGAGATTCTTATTTAGTGGCCTTGTGGTGGAGTGTGGGCATCAGTTTTTTTCTTTTCTCTTCGTGTGTGTGTGTGTGTGTGTGTGTGTGTGTGTGTGTGTTTACCATAGGGCATGTACACTCACCTGAGACAAAGAGAGGAAAAGTGAGAAATCACCTCCCCAGGTGGATGTCCACACCACAATTCCTTCTCACAATTCTCTTGGGATCTTGAGCACACTTGCACAGATGTCTGGTGTGATTTTCAAGCTACCAGGTCCAGCAATTCAACCACAGTCTGCCATAAGGGAATCCAACATCTTAACCACCACACCACCTGCTGGTACCCCATCAGCATTTTTTGAAAGCTCCCACATAATCCTAATGAGCAGCCACTGCAATACACTTGATTCATAGTTTGTGAGTAGTTTGCCTTTACTTCTATAGTTGATGTTGGTAAGCCCCAGTCACACTACACACAATACAGTCTTCCTGCTTTTACAATGGTGTCTCACCTGAAGACTACACTACATCAGCTTGTCTGGTGACATCCATTTGGTCCTGCCTCTTCTGCTTCTCAGATTCACACTGAGACCACACCACCAACTGTGTACTCACTCCCCGTTTTTAAGCACAATAGATTTAAAAACCTTTTTGGTAAGTATATCCCTAGATGGTTGATCAGGCATTACTGCCACAGCTCTCTGATTTCTGGGATCTCCTTGACCACACCTGCTCCTGAATGCACGGCCTCAACTCAGGCTCTGACAACCCATTCCCTTCTGTTACCAGACGCCAACTGCTTCCCATCATCTGATGCCAACCTAGTCTGTACAAGGGCATGATGTTACTCTTCATAAGGCTCTTACACTGCTCATTCCATGGGTCATAGAGTTATAGCTAGTTTTGATCATGAGCTTGATATAAAATCTGAAAGACTTAGTAGACTAACTTTCTAAGTGCATATGTCTGCTTCATTCGAGGATGTCTTCTTGAATTGTTCCATCAGTCAGTCTACCAGGCCTGACTGAGTTAAGGAAAGTGGAAGACCAGTGACTGCATCATGCAGAATGCTAACTTCTATGAACCCACAAGCCATGTTTATAACTTTGAGCTTAGAAGTTGCAGAAAATAGAAAGTAAATAATATATTTTTTAAGTTACGCATTTTTTTTTTTTTGCTATAGGATGCATGCACTCACCAGACAGACAGAGAGAGACAGAGAGATAGAAAGTGAGAAATCACCCTCTGAGGGGGATGGCCACGCCGCAATCCCTTCTCCTCCATTCTCCTCTCAGGATCTTGGGCACGCACGTACACGTGCCCAGCGTGAGTTTTAAGCCACTGGGTCCAGGATGCGAACCACAGTTGACTACATGGGAGTCCAGCGACATAGCCATTATGCTAACTGCTGGTCCCTTAAGTTATGATTTCTAAACATATAATCAATGTATATATGTGGGCTACAATATGGATTTTGAAGGAATGCATACAGTGTATAATAATCAAATAAAAATGCTGATAGATTCATCTTCAGCATTGAATATGGCATTATGTTATGCACATTTGTTAATAGTATGACTCATGTTTTTGAAATATAAATTGTCCACTTTTTAATTTCTATTTATTTATTTTTATTTTTGAGAGATTTTGCTATAGGGCACATGCACTCCCCAGAGACACAGAGAGAAAGAAAGTGAGAAATCAACCCAGAGGTGTGGAGGCCATGCTGCAATCCTGAGTTTTAAGCCACTGGGTCCAGGATGCGAACCACAGTTGACTACATGGGAGTCCAGCGACATAGCCATTATGCTAACTGCTGGTCCCTTAAGTTATGATTTCTAAACATATAATCAATGTATATATGTGGGCTACAATATGGATTTTGAAGGAATGCATACAGTGTATAATAATCAAATAAAAATGCTGATAGATTCATCTTCAGCATTGAATATGGCATTATGTTATGCACATTTGTTAATAGTATGACTCATGTTTTTGAAATATAAATTGTCCACTTTTTAATTTCTATTTATTTATTTTTATTTTTGAGAGATTTTGCTATAGGGCACATGCACTCCCCAGAGACACAGAGAGAAAGAAAGTGAGAAATCAACCCAGAGGTGTGGAGGCCATGCTGCAATCCCTTCTCCTTCATTCTCCTCTTTGGACATTGGTCCTGAAGTGAGTTTCAAACCGCTGGGTCTGGGAATTGAACTACAGTTGGCCACATGGGAGTCCAGTGCCTTAACCACTATGCCACCTGCTAGCCCCAGTTGTCCACGTTTCTAACTCTACTGTGATATACCATCCTACAAGCTTTCCCCCTCATTTATACACATTCTTGTAACCATTAAGGATTTTCTCTCAAAGCTACCCACAAACTCCCAAAATAAATCATTTTAAATTAAGCTGTTAATTAAAATCTAGTATAAGAATTTAAGTAACAACAAGAACACTAGCCATTTATGGAATGAGGAATTTTGCATACATACTTTAGAGGATGGGCCTACGTCTTCAGAAATGTACTTGGCAGGTCTTTCTTATTTTAATTATTGTTTTAACTTATTTTATACATTCAATCACTATACATCACGACAGCTTGTAAAATGAATTTACCCAATATGAATACACTTCACACCACTCCAATGGAAGATACACAAGAAATCGTCCATTTCTGTGTCCCTTAAATGTCTTGCCTCTCTATTTTTCTCCTTTATTCTCTCACTCTCCCCCATCTCATACCCTCTTCCCATACTGTCTCCAGTATCCATAACCATTTTCTATGCTTTTACATCCTCTAATCTTTCTGTTTCAGCCATAGTGTACAGAGAGTCTGTATATATTAAGTGGAGACATACAATGTTTCTCTTCCAAAGCCTGATTTGCTTCATTCAGCAGTAAATTTTCCAGATTCGTCCACTTCCTATCAAATGCCAGGGTCTTATTGTTTTTTAAGGCTGAGTAATATTCCATAGTATAAATGTGCCACACTTTTTCAATCTATTCATCTATTTATGGACATTTGGGCTGAATCCATGGCTTAGCAGTTGTGAATAATGCCACAATAAACATAGATTGACAGCACTTTTCCAACTGTTTTCCTATCCTTTGGATAGACACCCAGGAGTGGAATTGCTAGATCATGTGGTAGTTCTATTTTCAGGTCTTTGAGGACCCTCCATATTGTTCTCCACAGTGGCTGTACCAATTTACATTCCCACCAACAGTGTAGGAGAGTTCCTTTTACCACAGCCTAAAGAGCACTTACCATTTTTTTGTTATTTTAATCTTTGCCATTCTGACTGGGGTTAGAGTGGTATCTCATTGTGGTTTTTATTTTCATCTCCCTTATGATAAGGGATAATGATCATTGTTTCATACGCTTTTTGATTGTTTATATGTCTTTCTTAGAGAGTTGTTTGTTCAGCTCATTTTCCCATCTTTTAATTAGGTAGATGTTTTATTTTTTTATGGCCGCTTGAGTTCTTTGTGTATTTTGGTTATCAGTCCCTTATCTGAAGCATACTTTACAAAAATATTCTCCCATTCTGAGAATTGTATATTCACACTAATTACTGTGTATTTTGTTGTGCGGAAACTTCTTAATCTAATGTAATCCCTCTTGTCTATTTTTGGGATGACTGTCTCTGAAATCCACAATCATGAATATCTTCTCTCTGATGCTTGCTGTAACCTGATGTGACCTTCACTATTTCCAGAAGCCTATAAGCCTATGTTATGTTTTCCAATGATTTCTAGTTTCTCAGGAAATAGTAAGTTTTCTATCTAGAAATCTGTTTATTTGTTTGAGTTGATCCCTCAAAGAAAAATAGGGAAATTCTATCTAAATCTTACTACATTTAAAAGGAAGCCTGCTTATATCTTAGTGTATTTTCCCAAATATTCTGGTCCTTTCAGCTAGCAGATGAGAGGGAGGAGGTGATGGTGGTATAAATCATCTCAGCCAAGAGCAGAAAAAAGCCAATGAATGAGGTGTACGCTGAGGAGCAGGAAAACAGTCACCCAGACAACCAACCACATTCTTACCACAGGCTTTGAGCAGATGAATTGATTAGACTAATATATGTTCTCCTGGGACATTATTTTACAGGAACTCATGGAACCAGAAGTTGGGACTAACAGGACAGCTGTTGCTGAGTTCATTCTACTGGGCTTAGTGAAAACAGAAGAGCTACAGTCTCTGGTCTTAGTCCTCTTCCTCTTGGCCTACCTGGTCACAATTGGGGGCAATCTTAGCATTCTGGCTGCCATATTGGTGGAGTCCAAACTCCACACCCCCATGTACTTCTTCCTGGGGAATCTATCAGTGGTAGATGTTGGGTGTATCACTGTCACTGTCCCTCCTATGTTGGGTCGTCTGCTGTCCCACAAGCAAACAATATCCCATGGTGCCTGCCTCTCTCAGCTCTTCTTCTTCCACCTTCTGAGTGGGATAGACTGCTTCCTGTTAACAGCCATGGCCTATGACCGATTTCTGGCCATCTGTCGGCCCCTCACCTACAGCACCCGCATGAGCCAGACAGTCCAGAGGATATTGGTGGCTGTGTCTTGGGCTTGTTCCTTTACCAATACACTGACCCATACTGTAGCCATGTCTACACTCAACTTCTGTGGCCCCAACGTGATCAATCACTTCTACTGTGACCTCCCACAGCTCTTCCAGCTCTCCTGCTCCAGCACCCAACTCAATGAGCTGCTAATCTTTGCCATGGGCTTCATGATGGCAGGAGCACCTGTGGTTCTCATCGTCACCTCTTACATCCATGTGGCAGCTGCAGTGCTCAGGATTCGCTCTGCTGAGGGCAGGAAGAAGGCCTTCTCCACATGTGGCTCCCACCTCACTGTGGTTTGCCTTTTCTATGGGACAGGGATCTTCAACTACATGCGTCTGGGTTCAGAGGAAGCTTCAGACAAGGACAAAGGGGTTGGGATTTTCAATACCGTTATCAACCCCATGCTGAACCCACTTATCTACAGCCTCAGAAACCCCGATGTTCAGGGTGCTCTCTGGAGGGTACTTGTGGGGAGGAGGTCACTGACCTGAGAAATGATAGAATCCCTCCTTTTCTACCTTTTCTGGACTGAAGAAAATTTCCTATGAAGGCAGTAATTAGAAAAAAAGTGTCCTGTAACCATATTTTTCATCTCCTGATGCCTAAAGATTGGTGCTATGTGTTTGACCTATAAGGACACCTTATATAATTAATCCATTTACTCATTCAACAAATATTTATTGAATTATTTCTATGATGTAGACAGTCTACTAGTGCATCAGTAAACAACATAGACAAAAGTCTGTACACTCATGCAACTCACAGGCATAAAAGTAGGCAGAATAAATAAGCATCAAATACAGCACATCCCATGGTAATCAGTGCTACAGAGAACAATGAAGATGGGGAATATGAAGTTGGGCACTGCTGAGCAAGCCTTCTGGGCCAGTGACTGCCTGGTTTCTGGCTTAGCCCCCTTTCTGGATAGAGCTGAACCTTGGTAGACTATGTGTCCTACAGGGACGGGTCATTTAGTTCATCACAGTTTAAGAATGGCCACTGCAAATTCTCTTGTGGGAATATGAAATTCCTTCCAGATCAAAATGTGAATAGATTTTTTAAATATGACCTCAGTGCCAAAGGTTATTTCATTCACCTGTTTGCCTTTTACCTCCAAGAAGATCAGCTCCATCTTTCCATTAAGAATACTGTGTGATGTTTAAGGGACAGCAAAGGACTAGAGAGAGAGACCTCTTTCAGTAAAAACTACATCCATCAGTGCATATGTCATGTATTTTAAGGGCAAAAAAGAGATGTTCCATCTCCATCCTCTTCCATGTCTATTTCTCTTACTTGTTGCCGCCTTCCTCACACATATAATAAAGACTTTGATTAAAGTAGACATTCTCATTGTCATCTAGTCCTTAGATTTCTGATATAGAATAACCAAAGCAATCTTCTCTTTCAGAGTCTTTTTTCTCCCAAACCTCCTTGCCCAGGAAAAACATGTCCATAAATGTAGTTAATGTAGTGCAATCCTTCTTCCTGCAATTTTCTGCCCCTGAAGGGGCTTGGGTACATGTATGCATGCCTGCATGTTGCCACAGAGCAGGGATTTGAATCCCAGTTAGCCTTGTGGGATCCGGGTATAGAACCAGCCAGCATTGCTTCCATCTGAGCATTCATTCCTTTCCTGCTTTCTATCTGTTCTCTGAGACCAAAAGGTTTCTTTAACAACAAGGGGTCCTTCTTTTCTTTCTTTCTTCCTTTGTTTGCTCCTTCTTCCTTCTTTTCTTTGTGCTTTCTTCCTTCCTTTTTTCTTTTTCTTTCCTTCATATACTGACATGATTATTTAAAGTACACCACACATATTAAAACTTGTTTTATACACATATATTAAAACTTGTATTTAAGTGTGTTTTGTTATCTCTGCTACTATTCCATTCACTTCCTAAATGTATTTCAAGTACACATAATACCTTTTCTACCTTTATGTTCTTTTCTTTTTCATTATCCTATTTCTAACCATTCAACTTTTAGTGATGCCTCTTTCTTTCTTTTCTTTTCTTTTTCTTTTTTTTTTCATAAGGCACATGCACTTACCAGAGAGAGAGAGAGACAGAGAGACAGACAAAGAGAGAGGGAAAGTGAGAAATTACCCCCAGAAGGGATGGCCACTCCACAATTTCTTCTCTTCCATTCTCAGAATTTTGGGCACACATACATATGCAACCAGCATGATTTTCTTTTTTTATTATTAAAGACATATTTTATTCTGTTTCTATTTCTTTTTACTTCAACAATCATTTTATTTTGAAGTAATGTTCCATAGAAAATGTGTAACAATGGTCCCTTTCTCTTAACCTCTTTTTTTATATATGTAATTCTTTTTAAGTCTCAGGTCTCCAACCACAGTCAGCCATGGCCAGTCCAGTGCCTTAACCATGACTCCACCTGCTGGCCTCCAGTGATTCCTGTTATAATGTTACTCTATCGTGTCATTGGAAAAGTCATGACACATTTTTGTATAGAAAAACAAAAAAAAAAGTCATGAATTTTTCAATGATCCAATATTAACACAGTCCTACAGCTCCAATAGGAGCATATCCTCATGTTGGTTTTTATCCAGCCTTCAGCCCATTCATTTCTTTTTTTTTTAAATGTTCCTCACTTTATTCTTTTTTTAATTAATTTTTAATTTATTTTTTATTATCATCATAATCTTGTTTATATTACATTGGATTACATATAACTTTACAGTGTATTACATTGCTTTTTCAAAAGGGAATGCCATGCATGTCAGTCAATACAGAGACATTAATCTCCCCACTTCATCATTCAATATCTTTTCAATGTTTTTCCCAATCATTATTATTATTATTCTAATTATTTTTTAAACAGTCAATCACTATTTCTCATTTTGCTTGTGAAAAGACTTTACCCATCATGAAATACTTCTCAGACCAATCCAGTTGAGAATACTATATATGCCATCATCAACTGGTAATAAGCCATATCTGTTTCCTCTAACGTCCTGCTTGCCCATTCACTTCTGAGTTTTACAACAATGGTCCCCAGGTCTTGGCATTGCTTCTTCATTTAAAAAAAATTAAACTCTTCTTAAATTCATGATAGAGCATGCACACTTGAGAGAGTGAGAGAGAGAGACGAGAGAGATAGAGAAGCACCTTCCAACAGTGCCTCGTCACAGTGCAATCCTTCTTCCTGCAATTTTCTACCCCTGAAGGGGCCTGGGTACATGTATACATCCCTGCATGTTGCCACAGAACAGGGATTTGAATCCCAGTTAGCCTTGTGGGATCCGGGTATAGAACAAGCCAGCGTTGTTTCCATCTGAGTATTCATTCCTTTCCTGCTTTCTATCTGTTCTCTGAGACCAAAAGGTTTCTTTAACAAGCAGAGTAGTTGAATTTTCTCTGAGATTTATCTTCTTCTATTCCCAAATATAAATATACTTATTTTAAAATTATTCAGGGCTAGCTCCCTAGGCTAGTAGTTAAGGGACCCATATCTCATATGACTATGGTTCGAATTCTGGCCACAGCAACTTGAAATGAACACCTGGCACATGTGCATGCTTACTCCAAATCCCAGAAAGATGTAGAAACAAGAAATGGGATTGTAGCATGACCATGCCCCAGTGAGGGGTGTGCTCTTTCTCTTTTTCTCTTTCTCTCTCTCAGTCTCTTTCTGGCAAGTACACACTTTGGTCTCTGGCAAAAAAAAAAAAAAAAATTAAAATAATAAAAAAATGAGCCCCAGCAGTTGGTGTAGTGGTCAAGGTGCTAGACTACCATGGCAGATGTCATTCGAGTTCCAGAACCAGAGACTTGAAAGTCACACTGGGCACGTTGTGTGCATGCTCAAGATTCAAAGAGAAGACATAAAAACAGCATGGTATTGGCACAAAAACAGACTGGTTGACCAATGAAATAGAAGAGACCCCAGAAATAAATCCCAAAGCTTACATCCAACTGATTTTTTACAAAGGTACCAATCAATCCATTGGAAAAGGAAAAACTCTTTTGTAAATGGTGATGGAAAAACTGGATATCCACCTGCAGAAAGATGAAACTGAATCGCCATCTTTCACTATTAACAAAAATCAACTCAAAATGGATCAATGATCTGTACCTAAGATCTCAGACTATAAAACTCCTGGTGGAAAATACAGAGGAAACTCTGAGAGACATTGGGGTAGGCAAAGACTTCTTAAATAAGACTCCCATAGCACAGGCGATAATCCCTAAAATAGACAGGAGGGACTATATCAGATTAAGAAGTTTCTACACAGCAAAGGACATAGTAACAAGACATGGAACCAACCCAAATGTCCACAAACAGATGAATGGATTGAAAAAGTGTGGCACATATACTCTATGGAATACTACTCAGTCATTAAAAGAAAAAAAAAAAAGACCCTGGCATTTGATAGAAAGTGGTCAGATATGGAGGATCTATTGCTGAGTGAAGCAAGCCAGGATATGAAAGAAAGATATTGTATGTATCCACTTAATATATACCAACTATCCACACTTTATGGTAGAGATCGAAATATTGGAGGGCATAAAAGCAGTGAAAATAGTTATGGATGCTGAAGACAGTGTGGAACAGGGCAAGAGAAGACAAGAGAATAGAGAAGGATAGCAAGAGACTAAATAGAGAGGCATGACATTAGTGGGACACAGAAATGGTTTATTACCTATTGATGATAACATGTATAGTATTATCAGCTGGACTAGTCTAAGAAGTATTTCATGGTGGGTAAATTCTTTTCACAAGCAAAATGATATATAGTAATTGAATCTTTAGAAATAATGAGAATAATAATAATCTGAAAAAAATGATGAAAAGCTATATGATGATGATGTGAATAGTAATGTCTTTGTCTTGACTGATATAGTATTCCTTCTGGAAAAAGAAATGTAATATGCTATAAAGATATATGTGATTCAATGTAACATAAACAAGACTATGATAATAATACATAAAATTTTTAAAAATTAAAAAAAAAATAGATTCAGAGAAGAATGGAAGAGAAGGTATTATAGTGTGATCATCCCCCAAGGGAGTGATTTCTCACATGTGCTCTATAGCAAAAATTTCTCCAAAAACTAATAATTAAAATAAAATAATTTAAGAATACTATACCTGGGAATCAGCAGATGGCATAATGGTTATGTTGCTACACTCCCACATGGCTGACAATGGTTTGAGTCCCAGAACCATAAGCTTGAAACTCTCTCCAGGAATGTGTGTGTGCGTGCCCAAAATCCTGAGAGGAGACTGAAGGAGAAGAGATTGTGGCATTGACAACCCCCCTGGGGGTTATCTCTCTCTTTCTGTCCCTCTCTGTCTCTCTGACAAGCACACACAACCTATAGCAAAAATCTCTCTCAAAACAAGCAAACCAAAAAAAGGGAAAAAAGCAAAGCAGAGACCAAATTGTAAATGGCCTAAGATATCTTAAGAGTATCAAAGTTTACACAAGAAATCATCAGTGGTCTTTAAGCAGAGTACGACCATGAAA